ACAGGAACAGCCTGCTATCAACCTGTAGGTACTGGTGTCCATTGCTATTTCTTCCCCTTCTCATTAAAAGAGAATGAAGATCCTCTTCCCGCGGAAGGTCAATGTTTTCTTGATGTGCCCCGTTTGGCAGGAGCTTGGCCTCAGCCTCCCTTCTGCCTCACCCTGGGCCCTCCTCCCCTGGCTCAGCCTAGACCACCACAGCCTCCACCCTGGCCTCTGCCAGCAAGGGAAGAACCTGCTTACGGATCTCTGCATACACTTCTCTCTGTGCTGGGAGCCCTGCTTTTCACCAGACATATTCCCACTCATCTCTTAGATATTTGCTTATATGTTCCTCCCTCAAAGAACTTACTCCCTGTCCTCGCCCTCCTGCTTAAAGTAGGTGCCCTGGCTAATATCTGTCACTAATCATTCTTAACTTTTACCACACAGCACTTCCCTTAATCTAGAATTATGTATTTGTTTGTAACGTGTTTGTCTGTCAATCTCACTAATCTGGGAACTCCGCAAGGGCAGGAACTAGCTTCCGGATTCACCCAATGGTTTCCACTAGGAAAATGCCTGCCTGGAGGAGGTTTTTAGTAAGTGCTTCTTCACAAATAGATGAGTGGAGGTGGCGAGAGGGAGCACCAAGGCGAGGGGAGCTGGGCTTGACCCTGCGTAGTGGGCTCCCAGGGGCTCTGTCCCATTGGGCCAAGCTGCTTGTGAGGTTTGAAGCACAGGCCGAGGGTGGGGCTAGACTTTATCTTGGAGCACAGCCCTAACCTCAGATGGTGACAGAGCTGGAGCCGGCAGAGGTTTTGCAAACCATCCCGATTGCAGAAGAGCAGCAGTCTGTGAGACAGGCGGGTGGGGCCTGTGCTTATCTCCCAAGCGCAGTCCTAACCTCAGACGGTGACCACGAGGAGCGAGCAAGCGTTTTGTAAACCGTCCCAATTGCAGCAGGGTTGGATGGCCTGGCCATGGGGGACAGGACCACTAGGTGTGAGCATGACAGGGGCGTGGGCACTTTGGGCCTTCAGGGTGAAGCCTGGCTCACTGTGCGTAGGGCTGGCCTCTCTACATTAGAGCCCTGCTTCATTCTCAGAGAGAAGTGGGAGGTCACAGCAAACAAGTGGGCGAGACTCTCCCCATGAGGAAGCCTTTCCGCTGCCAGGTCCTAGGACTCTTCCACGGCTCCTGGAAGTCACACTGGCCATTTTGATAAGTCAGCTTGCAGGCTTTTCCTTTCTTACCTTTTCTTCCCATGGAGAGAACTTGTCATGTGCCACTGAGGTCTGCTGAGGCCAGGCCAGGCCTGCTTCTAGAACAGGGACCATCAGAAGTCCTGTCCAGGTTAGGCCACTCTCACCTGGATCAGCCCAGGCTGAGTCCAGGAAGGAGGTGTCTGCCTGTGAGGGGTGGTGAGAATTCAAGAGGCACACACAGACCCTCAGCCCTGGCATCCCCTGCACCTCCATCCCAGAGTCCCCGCACTGGCCTGGAGCAGGGTGAGGGGTGGAGGTGAAGAGGCCCCTTTCCACCCACAGCCCAGACCGGGATCTTGCAACATTGGGATGGGGGCCCTGGGGGCCCGGGTGTGTGGCAACGTGGAGGGAGGTGGGAGGGAGGTATGCATCAAGGGGGCAGCTTTCACAAGCCATGCTGGCCACGCCACTGACCTTGGCAGACTCACCTTGGGCAGCTTTCTCCCTCTTCAGGCCTTCCTCCTTGCAGCTTTCCTGTGACCCGAAATCCTGTCTCAGCTCAAGCCTGTCATCCTGGTCCTCAGTTCTGCTTAAGAAGGAAAAGTGGGCCCAACTAGGTTCTAAAGCAGCAGGCATGCGAGTGTGCTGTTAGGGCCTTGGTTTGCTGGTTTTCAAAGGTTCCCAATCCCTCATCCTGATCCTTTCACTAGACAGGCTCCCTGTCCCTGCCTGGGCTCCTTTCTGTCATCCCCTTTCCCTAGGGACGGCTCCAGGAAGCCAGCTCTCTGCCCTGCCCAGTCCTCTTGGCAGAGGGAATAGAAATCAGTCATCTGCAATTCCTTTCTGCAGCCAAGGAGGTGTTTTTCTTGCATCCTCTCTCATCCTTTTTCCAGTCAGCCCCCCACACTTGGGTTCTTCCCCAGATCACTGGATATCTTTTGCATTTGCTGTTCCCTCTGTTCCCCACCCCCAACGGCATATCTGCCTCCTTCTTGAGAACTTTTAACTTTTAATTTACATGTCACTTCCTCCAAGAGGCCTTCCTTAACTTCCCCACATAAATAGCTTTCTCAGTGAAGGTTGAATAGAATACTTTATTTATTTGTTTGTTTGTTTGTTTTTGAGACAGGGTAGCTTGCTTTCTTTGTATCTCAGGCTGGCCTCCAACTCACTATGTAATCCAGGGTAGCCTTGAACTCATGGCAATCCTCCTGCCTCAGCCTCTTGAGTGCTGGAATAAAGGTGTGAAGGAACAGGAGTTGGAGAAAGCTTCTGGAGTGGGGAAGTGGTGCATCTATGTCTGGGAGCTGAATAGGGTGAGCGAGGGAGAACTGGAGGGGCCAAAGAAGACATTAAGCACACTCACTGCCCTTTTTTTCCTACCACTTCAGCTGAGAACTTGTCTTATTCTCAGAAAAGATGACAAACACTTGTTGACTACATTGCTTTGGCCCAAACTAGCTGAGTTGAGCCTGAAAGCCCCCTCCAGGCTGTGGGCCTCCCTGGTGGAGTTTTCTCCCTGGGACACCATCTGACAGAAAGGGGGAGGGGGGGTGTTTAATGCTGCACTTTGTATTCTGCTGAGGTCTTGCAGGGGAAGTGGGGATGTGGCTCTTCAGATTTGGTGCCCTGAGGAGGTGCAGGTGGGTGGGAAGGCTGGGAGGGGACACAGTTCTGAGCTGTGGGAAAGAAACTTGGGGTCAATGTTGAAGCAACCCAGGTCCCAGCATCCAGTACCTTGAAAAGAAGTCGGGGGACAGTGGTCGAGCTGAAGAGGAAATCCGGAGGTTGAGTCACTTACCAAGTTCTGTACAAACCCCCCTTATGCAACGCATCCCCCTGGGCCAAAGAGAAGGTGAGAGGATTCTCCCAGGCGCCCACTGAGATGCGTCCCCCATCTAAACTCAGACTGCTCCCGTCAGTCCCTGTACCTGAGTGTCCAAACTTTGGGTCTCTTTGCCCAAACAAGACCTGGGGCAGGGGGTTCAGGATACAGAAGTAGGAGAGTGGGTGCCTGAGAAGGGAGACAGAGGCTGGGAAGGAACTGAGTCCTGGTTGAGGTAGATCTGGTACGCAGGGATGGGAAGTCTCTGCCACTGGGGGTTGGGGGGAGTGGAGGAAAAAGGGAGGGAGGGAGTGAGAGAGCATGCTGGGATGATCCAGGTACAAGTCTCTCTCCCTCTCAGAAAGTAATTCTTTGATGTTCAACTCAGGCTTTCCCAGCAGTGGCCAAGGACAAACGGGACCCCTATTCTGTCCAAGTCTGACCTGTCAGACAATTCACGCTCAGGAATGTGGTTTCCGAGCGCCACCTGTGCCCTGGGTCTTTGGGGGAAGTTGTGAGCACAGACTCCGTACCAGGTGCCAGGCAGTAAGGGCACTGAGGGAGCTTTAGTGGCGTCGCTCATCACCTCTAGCCCTCAGCACTTTATCTATAAGATGTGGCTGCCACTATCTTGCTTGTCTGAGGGTAAAACTCACCAGAGAAGTTCTTGAGGTCTCTACCAATACCTCTTGAAATCTGTGATTTTATGGAGCTAATTTTGATTCTGCCTCTAAACAGTCAGTGATTCTGGGTAAGTCCCTAAGGCCTAAGGCCTCAGTTTCCTTATTTGCAAAATGAGAAGTTTGGCTGAGATCTCTGAGGACCTTTCAGTTATAGCAAACTGGAATAATAAATACCCATGCTTACTAGGTGCCACATAACACATTTCTCTATGACTATAACAACACTATGAGATGAGTATTAAAATTACTCCCATTATGGGCTGGGGATTTAGCTCAGTGGTTCTGCTGCCAGCCGTGCAAGCGCAAGGTCCTGAGTTCGATCCCCGGTACCAAAAGAAAAAAAAATTACTCTCATTTTGAAGGTGAGGAAACAGGCACAGAAAGGAGAAGTAACTGGCTACAGGTCACATAGCCAGTGAGTAGCAGAGGGGATACAGACTTCAGCTCTTAGTTGCTATAGAATTCTGCTTCCTAGGCTATAGTTTTATGAAATCGAAAACGCTCTCAATTAACCATGTTCGCACATACAAGTCAGGCCTCATGGTCTTTCTGATTCCTCCCCCTAGCACTCAGAATCTCAAGTTTTAGGGAACAAGAGCCCCAGGGGATGAGGGATAAAGATTGGAGTAGGTGGGTGAGAGCAATGGTGGGAGATGTTAGTCCAGTAGACCGAAGCTGTGGAACTGGAAAGAGGGGATGATGGCTGGATCAAGGGTCGAGGGATTGTAAATGTGGCAGAGTTAGCCAGCTGTGGTGTGGCACACCTGTAATCCCAGCACTTGGGAGGCTGAGGCAGGAGGACTGCCTGAGTTTGAGGCCAGCCTGCACTACATAGTGAGTTTAAAGCCAGCCTGGAAATGCAGCAAAACCCTGTCTCAAAAGAAAAAAGGCAAAGCACTCAGGAATTTCCCCATAGTCACCTGGGGCAGGACCTCTCAGACCTATACCCTATGGAGAGAACAGCCTGGAGTGGGTACTGGGATTGCCCTTAAAGGCCGGGCTCTCTCAGGAGGGCATCCAGAGGAGGTGTTGGGTCCTGCGTGGGGGTAAAGGGGAGCATGGCCTTAGCTAGCAGAAGGACAGAGTGTGTGGGTGAGGGATAGCAAAATGGGTGACAGAGGAGCAGAGTGACAGACACAGGGCCCAGCTGCGTGGCCTGTAGGGAGAAGGCTATGGGCTGCCAGTGTGCATTCCCACACATTCGTCTGGTCGCTGAGGTCTTCTCACTCTCTGTGTCTCACACGCGCGCGCACACACAGCCTCGCCCAGCGAACACTAAGTCACAGTGCAATTTATTCAGCCACAGAATCTTCATGGGTCCTGCCCCCTCAGCTACCCTGCCACCCTGGTCCATCGTCATGTCTTAGGCTTGGCCTGCAGAGGCCTCCGAGGTCCCAGCAGGGTGGGGTCTCCAGGGTCCAGCCATGGGTCTGGTACCCACAGTCCATCAGCCAGGCTTAGCTGCAGCCCCCCACACCCTTGATGAGGTTGGCAGCCTCAGGGATCTGGCGGAAGAGGTTGCGGAGGGTATCCAGCTCCTGGGTGAGCTGCTCCACCCGGCTGCGCAGACGTTCGTTCTCGGCCATGTATTCCAGCACCTTCTGCTGCGTCTCCAGAATGCGCCGCTTGGCCTTGTCCCGGCTCTTGCGCACTGCGATATTGTTGCGCTCCCGCCGCAGCCGGTATTCTAGGCTGTCCTTGTTCACTGCCTTCTTGCCTTTGTGTGAGGGGCCAGCTGGGGAAGGCGCCTTGAGGAGGGGGCTGCAGGGGGCCCCAGCAGCAGCCAGAGGGGCCTGCAGGGGAAGGCACAGAGGGACAGAGATGAGGGCCCACCCGGAGGCAGAGTGGAGGCAGGAATCCCAGCAGCCAGGCACACTTGGGACACCAGGCCAGCGCCTGTCTCCCAGGTCAAGGCAGTCCTTGATGATCCTTCAGGCAAGGACACTTTTCCTGCATCATCTATGGCAACTCTCCTGTTCTACAATCAGTAGGCATTTCCTCTTCCAGAAGCAGGTGACAAAGAAAGAAGAGGGCATGGTGGGCAGCAGGGAAGCTGGTGGGCTCAGCTTGCCACAGGGCCTTCAGGACATGGTGATGTTCAGGGCGGAGGAAACTCACAGTGGCAAGGGGCAGCTCATGGTATGGCAGGGAGCACAGAGCCCTGGGTGGGTCAGTTTCACAGAGCAACACCAAACCCAGACTTGTCAGCATAAGCGGGACCTGAGTCCCCCATCCGTGCCAGCCTTAGTCCAGCCCCTGGGTGCAGGAAGAACTGACTTGCTCTTACCTTGAGAACGCGAAGGGGCTGGCCGGGTGCTGCCAGGGTGGGGGGCAGGTGCATGGCTGTCTGCCCACAGTGTGCCACTTGGTACTGCAAGGGATTGTAGCCACCTCGGCTGGCACCTCGGCTGCCCTCTGGCCCCCGGGGCTCCTCCTTCACAGCCACAGCTCTGGGGTCGTAGCTCCCTGGACTGCTGTAGATGCCAGGGCCCAGCACCTTCCTGTCTGGGCCGAAGGTATGTGGTGGGTAGGCGAAGGGCCGTGGGTCAGGCGGCAGATAGTGAGGGAAGGCAGGGGTTCCGGGGCCCTTAAGGCTTCGGGCCTCAGGTGCTGGCTTCATGGCAAAGAGGTCGGAAAGCAGCTGTTCCTCCCCAGACTCGATGTAGGCAGAGAGGTCGATGGAGGCCTCATGCTCACACATGTCCCCCAGCTCCCCAGGCCCCGCTCGGCCCCCTGAGAACTCAAGTGGCGGCTGGCCACCCCGGGGCTCACATTCATAGTAGGTCCCGTGGGACATGGCCGGCCCACCCCTTTCGCTCCCCACCCCTGGGCCCTGCTCTTGGGGCACCCCTTGGATGCTCAGCCTACCCTCCCTCGATCTCCCCCTGCCCTAGATCTGCCCTCGATCTGCCCTCTCTGGTCTCCTTTGTCACCCACTCCTGTGTGGCTTCTCTCCTCCCTCTTCTGCTCTGGTTCCTTTTCCTTCCTCTGTAGTCAGTGCCTCTCTTCCCTCCCCCCCACTCCTTGGGGTAGCTCAGGGAGGGGCAGGGCACACCCCAGAGGGAGGGATGCAGACCTTTGAGAAAGGGGCCCCCTTCCTTGTTTAGCAGTTGGGGCGCTCGCTGACGTTTTTGGGGAATGCCTCCCTTCTCCCCGTTAAGCCCAGAGAATTCCAAATCCTCACTGAGGGCAACACCTCACTCTGAATATCCTTCTCCCTCCAACTTCCAAAATGTTCTGTGCAGAATGAGATGCCAAGTCAGAGCCAATAGAGAGAGCCCTCCCCAATGCCGACCCTGGCTGGGTCTGAACTCCTCCCTTGACCGGCCTTCCTCCCGGTCCCCCAGTTCCGGGCTCCACCTACCCCCCGGGGGCAGCCAGTTCCATGTGTGGCCCCACCTCCCACAGCATTCTCCTGGGTGCAAGCCAGGAGGGGTTTAGGAAGCAGTAATCTTGGGGACCCTGTGGCCTGGTGCAAAGCATGCTTTGCTAGTTCTTTGCACAGGGTTTGTGAATGGCTGAGATGTTAACGTGTTTCCCTGTGTAGGCATAGCTGAGTTGCCTGGTCAGGACTTGGGCTCAGCTGTACTTTGGTGACTCCAGTGTCTCTCTCTTCCAGTTGCCCTGCTCTGCAACAGTCTCAGGCTGGCACTTCACCCCCACTCTGGGCTCAAGACTCTGCCTCCCACTTCCTGTGCCCTGGGGTGCAGGCTCAGGAGCTCACTGCAGCTCAGTTTGCTGTCTTTCCTTTTGCATGGCTGTTCTCTGACCTCCAGACCTTGTCTCTTGGGGCTACTTCCTCTTGTAGGTTTGAGAAGCTTTCTCTTTTGTCATCACTTCTTCCTGGGGCTCTCTTTTAGGTTCTCTAGGAGAAGCCCTTGGCTCCCTCTCTGTACTTCTTGGCCTTGTGCTGCCCCCCACCAATTTCCCTTTTCTCTTTCCTTGGGAACCCCTGGTCCTTTTCTGTCAGAGCCACCTACTCTGGCTCTGCTTTTACCTGCTGAGTTTCATCTTCAAAAGGGGCTGCAGGTCCAGTGAAAAGAAAGATACATAGAAATGCATTAGTGGCTCTACTGTCAGGAGCAAACGGTTTAAATGCCCTTTGGGGCACTTTATAAGTTGAGCACCCAGGGGTCTGTGTCCCTGTGAGTGAGCCACAGTGGGGCAAATGTGGATGGGATCTATGTGGCATTGAACACTAAAGTAAAAGATGCAAATGTAACTTGCTTACAAGTCGGGCAAGTTACTCCTCTAGATAGCATCTTCCTTCCTGTCCTCCCTATTCCCTCACCTGGTCCAGGTGCTCTGTGCACAATTTGAAGTATGGCAAGATATGCTGAGAACCCCTGAGCTGGCTTGGGAAGATCTGCATGCACTGGAGACAGATTTCAGGAAGCAGATGGGGAGATTTCTTCTCTCCATTTCAGATCTTGGTACCATTTCAAGTAGGTATCAAGGCCAGGCAACTTCACTTTGGTGACAGTGTCTCTCCTGACCAGTAGGTGGCAATATTGGCCCAAAGTTTGGGACTTAAGGGGCTTCTGTGGTTTGGAATAAGGACAGCAGAGGGCACCTCTGTCACCCTGGCACTGGCTAAGATTTAGGCATTGGGGAGGAAGGGGAAAGGTGGCCAGGATGGGGGACTTGCAGTCAGGTTATGAGGACGGTGGATAGCCTGGGAGGGCTGTGCCAGGGCCTCATCTCAAGGAGAAGAATTCTGTCCCCTCCCTCTCTGACTGTGAAATAATGTTAATGGTAGGTGTTTTTAGATAAATCCTGTTTTTCAGTCATAGTCATTGTAAATGTTCACTTTCCATGCTGACAATCTTGCTGTGAGTTATGCAGGAAAGAAGGCACAGAAGGTAGTTTTTTTTTTTTGGTCCCGGGGATCAAAACCTTGGTTTTTGTTTTTTTGCTTCTTGTGGTTAATTCCCTGGAGCACATCCCCAGCCCAGAAGGTAGTTTTTTTTTTTTTTTTTTTTTTAGAAAGTAGTATTTTTAATCCCTGCCTTACCAACAAGGAAAACAAAGCCGAGAGGCTGAGCTGTCCAAGGTCACCTGAGGATGCCTTGCTGAAGTCAGGAAGAGCCATGGGCTTGCTCCTGAGATGGCTCAGGGCTAAAGTACTGGGGCAGGGGCTGGTTACTGTGTGACTCAGAGAACTCCTTCGCATCTGTGGGCCACTATGGGGAGAGGGTGTCTGCGTCAGGAGCAGGGAATTGGGTGCTGGAGGAAGTAGGGAGAAGTGTAAAGAAAGCCAGCAGGAAATGAGAAAGCTTGAGGCACAGTGAGATAAGTGATCCGGGCTCCTGGCCTCCCTGGAAGGCTGGTGCTGCCCACACACTGACATCAGTGTTTCCCAGTAACTGAGGGCTTCCTGGGGGCAGCCAGACTGTGGGCGTCAGGGCAGGGGTGGGGGCCGTGGTGGGGGTAAGGAGGTGGGAGAGCAGGGGCTGAAGATTCCTGCTCCGGAGAGGAAAAAAGCCTTCCCCAGTCTGCAGGACCATTTTCCCTGCACAGCTATCCTCCATACTTGTTGGGTTATCTTAGTGGTTTTGTGACAGGCCTCTTTCAAGTACCACCTCCTTGGACAACCAAGGATTCCCTAAGGGGAGGTGGCCAAGCCTGGCAGTGAAATGTCAGTGAGAACTGGGCTCCATCCGGCCTCTGTCACTTAGCTCGGTGACCTTGGGCAAACTGCTGAATCTTAGCTGTGAGACAGCCGGAGTGATGCCTCCTTCCTAGGGTTGTTTAATAGACTTTGAATAAGATAATGTCTGTGAAGCAACTGACTTCAGAAAATGTTAACTCTCCTTCCTTCCTTCTTCTGGCCTCTCGCTGATGTTTTACTTGTCTCTGAAGCAGACACATACCCGGGGAAGTGGTATGATGCTTCAATTTGACAAGTATTTTTGAGCACCTAGGTCCCAGGCATGGCACAGGCTCTGGAGATGCATGGGGACCAGCCCTTCAGGTGGAGTGGGGAGGCCACAGGGAGGTGGCTCTGAGACGGAGAGGTGGCCAGAGTGGCCAAGAAGCGCACACCTCTGTGACACAAGCATCTTTGCTTCTCCCCGACAGGCCATTTGTTCTTTGAGGGTAGGGTAAACTACTTCTGATCACTTCAAGTAAAGTGATCATATTTCCTGAATTAAAATTAAGGACAAGTGGATTGGCATGTCTGAATATTTTATGGGGGCAGAAAATATTTGAAGTCTGCACTGAGTTGGAAAATTCAGGAATAAATTTGCTGTTTCCACAGCATATAGCAAAGCCAGAAAAAAAATTTGTTGAGTGACTGTGTTAATAAATGAATGCATAAACACCTATGAATTTAGTGACTTCCAAAAGGTTCCCAAATTCTCTAAGGTCAGAGCATCGGAAATGCCTAGCACTATAGTGACTGGCAGGGTTAAGACAGGGAAAAAGCTCAGGTTAGCCAGGGAAGTAGCTCAGTGGAGCAGCGCCTGCCTGGCAAGCGGCAAGATCCTAAGTTCAATCCCTGGTACTGGGGCGGGCGGGGGGATAAGCTCAGGTTAAAAATAAATGCCTATTGCCCAGGAGGAGACCCACATTTGCCCCTCTGACCAGGTTGAGATCAGCAGCTGTGACTTTACGCAAAGAGAGGAGCCCCTCAGGAACAAATGTCTGTGCAGTGAGAGTGCCCTGGAGAGGGCTGGACCTGCCAGAAGGGGGCACCACGGGGGAGACTGGGCAGGCCAGGGAGAGTAAGTTTATTGGGCTCAGAAAGGTGGATGTGTCTTCTAAGACAGCCTCCTGCACAGCCCTGGCCTCTGCCCTTCGGGAACACCCTGACTGAAGTTTGTGACTGAGAACCGTTTTGGATTAGGTCTCAATCTCTCATTCATATTCGCTGTCTGTCTCTGTCTCTGTCTGTCTCTGTCTCTCCTAAGCAGATGATGTGACTTGCCCAAGGACACACAGCTGATTAGTATCTGGCCTCCCTCTCAGGGTCTTAGGGACGGCAATCTGGCAGCCTGCCTGGCAGAAGGACAGCCACCCAGCAGGAGTGGAGGGGCCAAGCCAAGACAGGAGTGGGGGTGTCCTTCCTGCCTGTGTCATCTTGGTGTCCCAGATGGTGAAGGGCGATGTCTTAACATGTGCCACCTCCCACAGGCTGTTCGTCTGTCAGCAGTGCTGGCTCTCGGCTGATGCTGCCCCAGGAGAGAACAGCAGGAGGACAGCCCAGAAAGGAAGGGACAGAAGGAAGGAGTGGGTCGAGTCCCATCACCTTCCTCTAACGGTTAACCGAAAACATCAGGAGGCATGCAGCTACCTTAACTCTTCCTCTTTTTCCCTAGGCCTAGTCCAGTGATCCTCCTGGTCTTCATCCCAGAAACTGTCCTGTTGGATGGTTCTGCATAGCTAAGTGAGCCAGCCTCATTGACTAGCGGGCTCCTTAATGCTTTGAGTCTCTCTTTTATTTTGAGATAGTCTTGCTATGTAGCCCAGGCTGGCCTTGAACTTCAGCCTCCTGAGTTCTGAGATTATAGGCATGTGCCACTGTACCTGGCAATCCTGAGTCTAATTATAGAAGCCCATCAATTCCTTTCCCATTTGGCTCAGCACAAGAAGACTTTGCTGCCAGGTTTTAGGGACACCATCCCCTGCCTTTACCTCACGTGACTCAGTCTGGTGCTGTCCCACTTTGTGATGATGAGTATTATTATTAGTTCTTCTTTTGCAGTACTGGGGATTGAATCCAGGCCTTAGACATGATAGGTAAACACTCTACCAAGCACTCTACTCATACATCTCCAGTCCCCCTTCCCTTTCTTTCCTTTTATTTTTGTGCCAGGGATCGAACTCAGGACCTTGTGCTTTCGAGGCCGGCAGTGGAACCACTGATCTAAATCCCTGGCTGTTTTTTGAGACAAGGTTTCTCTGTGTAATTCAGGCTGGCCTTGAATTCACTATGTAGCCCAGGTTGGCCTCGAACTCATGGTAATCCTCCTGCCTCAGCCACTTAAGTGCTGGGATTATAGATGTGTGGCCCACACCTGGCCAGTGGTTGATTCTTTTTTCCCAGTTGATTTGCAGGCTCTCTGGATGGTGCACAGAGTAGGAATTGAACAACGCTTCAGGACCCCATAGAAAGAACGCGAAGGAGTTGTTTGAATGTCCAGGCCCTAAGTTGCTGGGAGAGCCTGAAGGTACAGAGATCACGAGCTTTTAGGAATCCCATCCTTGAGGATATGTGGCAAGCAAACACTTGACTAAGGAAAAATGCCTAGTGACTCAGTTTCAGAAGGTCATTTAATCATCAACACCACTGATTCATTTCCATTTAAAATTTTATTACATTAAAAAAAACCCTCCACAAAACAAATGAACAAAATTCTAAAACCCAAACCAACTTTTTGACAAGATTATTGTCAAGGGTCTAATTCTAACCCCCCCAAACAACCTTACATTTAAAAAAAATCAAAAAGAAATAGAAATAACAATATAGGGCCGGGGATTTAGCTCAGTGGTTCTGGCGCCTGCCTTGCGAGCACAAGGTCCCGAGTTCAATCCCTGGTAGCAAAAACAAAACAAAACAAAACAAAACAAGAAATAGAAATAACAGCATCAAAAATATTTATCCAAAAAGTAAGGCATCCACTTTACAAAAAAAAATAATTGAAAGAGGGAAGAGGCTGGAGGAATGAGAAGGGAGAAAGAGGAAGATGGTCCCTGGTCCTCCAGGGCTCACTCCAGCCTGGCTGGTGTCTTCTCTGAGGGGCCACAACTCAGCCCTAACCCAGCCTCTTACCAACGAGGGGTTAGGCAAGCTGGGTGGGAAGCTGGGAGACCCTGCCTGGGCCAGGAGGGGCTCCCTGGGTGTTCCAGTTTAAGGAGACGGAATGAGGGGTCCTGCATTGGGATAAGAGGACTCTGTGTCCTCAGGATGGCAGGGGCGGCTGCAGAGGCTGCAGGGCCAGGGTAAACAGCATCACCTTCCTTTGGAGCACAGGAAAAGGTCAGAAGCCCACATACCCCAGGGAGGACACTTGCCTGAGGATCCCCAAATCAGGCACCATTTTGCCACTGCCTTCTCATCCCATCCCAGAACGGGGGTGGTGAGAGCAGGAGAGAGGAGTTACGTGAGGGTCAGCAGTGAAGAGGAACAGGCCTTAGAAAATGCTCTCCCAAATGGACCCCAGGTTGTGGAACAGGCAGCTCTGGGGAGGTAGGAAAGCACCCTTCCACCCAGGGAAGGCATTTAATACCAGGTCTGTCCTGTGGGTAAGAAATAAGGGAGTATTTTTAGGTCCAGTTCTTGGATGGAAGGTGACTTAAGGCTGGTTTGGCTCTGGTTTCAGGCCTGAAGGGCCTGGGGATCCTTCCTTCATACCAGGTCCCTGAGCCAAGGTCCAGAGAGGAGGAAAGGGCATGACAGGAGGGGCCAGCAGCGTTGGCTCCATGAGGGTGTGTGGGGCACAGGCCCAGGGGAAGAGGGTCACTGCCCCTTTCCATGGAGTGGGGACCAAGGAGGAGCTGAGTGGTGTTGTCATTAGGAGACAGCAAGAGATCCACTGCACTGGAAGTAAGAAGTCTTTCTGGCTTCAGGAAGCTTTGGCACCACACCGGGCGGGGGTGGGGATGGAATGCAGGGGGGAAGGGGCAGGGCTGGGTTGCTGCAGTCTTTCCCACAAGCCTGGCTCAGGGCTGGGGTGGGGGCCATCCTCCTCCTCCTTCCTCCTTCTCCTCTTCTTCCTCCTTCTCCTCCTCCTTGTGGAGGAGCTGAAAGCAGCCTTTCTCCAGCAGGGAGCCAGGGCGGATGGTGGTGGAGGTGGTGGCACAGGGTGGGAAGAGGACAGAGGGACACATCTCCTCTATTTTGGGGTCTATGGTGAAGAAAGAGGGTTTGAGTCTCTCCAGCTGATCTTTAGTGGTGATGGATTTGTGCAGTCTGTCTGCCTCCTCTCTCTGAACTGAGGCTCCCTGGGGCTCAGGAACGGGGAGGGAAGGCAATAGCAACCTCAGCTTGCTAAGAGGCATTGGGGGCAGAGGCCTGGAAAGTGCTGCAGGGCACCCCTGGCATCTCTGCTCTCCTCTAATGCTCAGGGCAGCCCTTGTGTGGGGGCTTGGGCATGGGTCTGGGGTGAGAGGCTGGTTCTTTGGGTACAGATGTCAGTATTTTTGTTTATAACTCCTCACCCCCTACACCCAGGTCCTGCTCGACAGAGGAGAGGGTGTGTGTGTGTGTGTGTGTGTGTGTGTGTGTGTGTGTGTGTGTGTATGTGTGTTGGGGGGCCCAGGCAGGGAGGCAAGGCAGGAATGGGGAGGAAGGAGGGTGTAGTTAGCTGAGGGGAGGGCAGTCCTCAAGCCCTCAGTCTTGGAGCTGCTCTTCCAAGTCTTGGTCCTTGGTGGGTGCTGGCTGGTAGGACTGCCGCTGCCCCTCCGGGTCCTCACTTATGCCCTCCATCCCCAAGTCTCCCTCCTGTGCCGGGTACACGACCACGCACATCTTCTGGCTCACCAAGGTCAGCAACTCTATAGAAGACCACACAGAAACCAGGTCAGTGCCGAACGTCCTGCCCACCCTTCCAAGCAGCCATGACCTCAGCCAGTTCTGCTCCAGGTTCCACCTCACAGAGCAGCCCACGACTGTCAGAGATCCCTCTCCAGGAGACGGCCACCATGTCTGTCTCTGGCATCATTTGTCAGCTACCCTTTGCGCATCAAGGCCCAGCCTTTCCCTTTTTCAATGCCCATTGACCAATTCTCGGGTCCACACTGGTCTGCACCCAGCCCTGGCAGCTCCTGTGGGATGGCTGGTGGCTGCCAGTGTTCGAAGGACTGAGGTTCCTGTGGAAACTTGAACTGTTCTCCCCCCAGAAGTCTCTGGGAAGGCAGCTGCCATTCCTGCCCTGCCTCATTCTCCAGAGCCCTGAGGGCTCAGGTAAGGTGTGCCCAGGTGGGGCTCCTGACCCTGATCCTGCTGGGCTCTCCCCGTGCAGACCACCCCATCCCAGCCCAGGAGCCCTAGCCACCCAGAGCCTTCATTAACTCACCAATGAAGTCATTAAAGCTCTTGGGCTTGTTTTGCCAATAAACACCCAGGAAATAGACAGGCACTCCTGTCAGCATGATGGCCAGGCCAATGCCACACACCACCGGCTCTGACCACAGGCTGAAGATCAGCAAGAAGGCCCAAAACAGCAAGTAGATGATGGGGAACAGCAGGCTGACCTGTGGAGCAGAGGCACTGTGAGCTGTGTGTGGCCCCCACTGGCCCAAGGTTTAGGGGCCCCTCTTCACCCACACCCTTGAAGCAGAGGCCTAGGCTTCACTCAGCTGTACCCCACACCCCAGCCTCTGAAGGGTGAGCAGGTGAAATGTCAATGAATATTGGTGAGCTTGGGCAGTGGGACAGGAAGGAGATGGAGACCAGGGAAGGAATGTTCCTCATTGTTCATGTCCTCCCCCACCAAGGTAGAGTTAGATAAAGCCTCAGCATCCATGCCCAGTGCCCATGGCAGCCAGAGAAGCCATGAGAATGGAGAGCTTGGTATATCCTTGATGAAGCCCTAGGTGGAGAGGGTGGCAGGCAGGCAGGAAATGACCTGGGTCTGGTTTCCACCCATTTTAGGCAGGGCCTTCATCCGGGCACACCATGGCAAATGCCCATCCCTCTCACCAGCATCAGCCCCAATTTGTTTCTCTCAAGTAATGTGAGAAGATAAACATGCCAAGAGCCAAGAAATCAAAACTTTAGCTAGCATGGCCTAAAAAAGGGTGGGGCCCTGACTTTAGTTTAGAAAACAGCACCAACTCCATGGGCTTCCCCTTTCCTTGCTGGCCACATATGGGGGGTCCCTAGACAGCCCTCTTCTGGACTCTAGGGGTCCCTTCTCCTCCCTGTCTGCCCCTCTCAGAAGGGAGATAAGGATATTCTTCATCTTCTTCCCTCGCAGCTTTCCTCCTTTTAAATTTTCTTTCTTTTTGTGGTACTGGGGCTTGAACTCTGGGGCTTGTGCATGGTAAGTGCTGTACCGTAAATTACGTCCCCAGTCCCTTTTAAAATTTTAGGAAGGTAGGTAGGGCTGGGTCTTTAGCTCAGTGGCACCACACCTGCCTCGAAAGTGCAAGGTCCTGAGTTCGATCCCTGGTACCGACAAAAAAAATTTAGTAAGGTAGACTTTGTGGAGATGGGAAGGGAATCTAGGGATGGGGAAGGTGGAAGGGAAGAGAGGGGAGGGGAAGGGGAAATAAAAAAGATTAAGATTCGATATCCATATTGGGCTGGGGATGTAGCTCAGAGGCACAGCTCCTGCCTGGCAAGCACAAGGTTCTTAGTTTGATCCCTGGTACCAAAAAAAAATTTGATAGACATATTAACCAATTCCTCCTGATGAATGTATTCATTATGAATAAAAAACATGTGCTAATAATTCTTCTTCTTTTTTTTTTTTTTTTTTGTACCAGGGATCGAACTCTGGAACTTGTGCTTGCAAGGCAGGTACTGGAACCACTGGAGCTAAATCCCTGGCTCTGATAATTATTCTTTAAATTTTGAGACAGGATCTTGCTAATTTCTCTGGCTGGGCTCAAACTTACAGTCCTCCTGCCTCAGTCTCTCAGAGTGTTGGGACTACAGGCATGTGTCACAATGCCCAGCTGCCTCTTTTTTTTTTTTTTTAAGGTACTGGGGATTAAACCCAGGGCTTTCCATGAGCTACATCCCCAGCACTTTTTTTGTTTTTTTTTTAAATTTTGACACAGGGTCTTGCTAAAGTGCTAAGTTGCCCAGGCTGGACTCGAAGCAGGCAGTGGAACCACTGAGCTAAATCCCCAGCGCTCAAACTCATGATCCTCCTGCTTCAGCCTCCCAGAGTGTTGGGATTATAGGCATGCACCACCATGCCCAATCCTCTCAGGTTTTCTGAGTGGAAGAAAAATAGTAGTGAAAATAACAGTGGAGAGCTGAGAGATCTGGAGAGCCCTCGATTTCTCAGCTGGAACAATCTCCTAGTAGGTTCAGGTCTCTATTTCTAGAGAGTTCTGGCCTGTATCACTCTTCTGTTTTGCAGAACTCAGCTTTCGTGCATATCTTGTTCTGAACAACCCCATCAGTTCCTTTCCTAACATTATTTTTGTAGCAGTCATTAAGTTCACTAAGCACAGTAGTGTACGTAGGGTCACAGGAGTTTGAAAAGGGAGGCTGAGTGTATAGCTCAGTGGGAGAGTGCTTGCTTGGTGTGAGTGAGGCTCTGGGTTTGATCTTCAGTACTGTTCCAAAAAAAAAAAAAAAGGTCTCTGGAGGACTGGAAAGCTTCCAAAAAGAGGAGGTACTCGAGGCCCATTTAGAAAATGGTAAGAATATGTTTATTTATTGTTTTTGAGGCAGTGAATCACTTTGCTGCCCAGCCTGGGATCAAATATTGGCTCAATTGATCCTACTGCCTTAACCTCTCAACTAACTGACTACAGGCTGCCACCACACCTGGTACAGTTAGAACCTAGACAGGCAGATGAGAGGAAACTCATTCTGGGATGCAGACATCCATCTATCTGGAGGAAACGTTGGAGAGACTGGAGAGCCCTGAAAACCCAGCCAGACTCGAAGACTTGGAGTGGTAGGAAACAATGGGATGCCGTGAATTGAAGAAAGTAACATTTAACCCACTTATTTCCCGGCGGCCATTTACTCTGGTCCTGTCTCCAGGGGAGAAAGGAAATGGCTGTCCCCTCCACACATGGCCCTTGCTACCATGATCAGATCAGATTGAATCAAATAAAGGTGACAGCAGATCCCCAAAGAGGTTCTCTCACCTTGATAGGGCGAGGGATGTCAGGCTTCTGCCAGCGAAGGACTATTTGTCCAGCAACTGTGACCCCGTAGAAGAGGTAGTTGATGAAGCCCACGTAGTTGATGAGCGTGTACATGTCGCTGGTGACCAGCATCAGCAGGGTGGAGATGCACTGGGGAAATGAGGGGCTCACTGGTGATCACAAAGGTACTCTAGAGGCTGGAGGAGGTTCACAGGGTTGGGCACCCTGGTGTTACCTGGCTCTGCGTCAGTCCTGTTCTCATTTATATCTCCCTTAGTTATAGTTAAAGCTAATTTCTTTTTTCTTTTCTTTTCTCAAAAATCCTTTGAGAAGATTATTAACTGAAGATTAAGGCTCTGTTCTTGCCCTCATCCTTTTCCCCTGGCTGAGTCATCTCATTTATTTTCCTTCCTTTTCTTCTTTAAAAAAATTTTGTAAACAGTTGCACAGCTGGGTCCTATTCTTAGCATTCTGCAAATATTAACACATTTAACCCTCATAACATCCCTGTGAGGTTTTCTTGATGGAGGTCACTTTCCAACTTCAAAGTTATCTCTGTGACTCTCCTAAAGCAAGCCATGCTTTTCTCTCTGGTAATCTATGAAGGTCAGTAAAAGGGTCAGTTCTCCTGTGAGATCTGATGGTGAAAAAACTTGAGAAGATGTTAATGGGTGAACAGGACTGACTCCTGCTGTACTCGCCGTGCAGCCATAGTAAGGCTCAGTGGAAAAAAAAAGCCCTGTGGTCCAGCGGGAATACAGCCTTCTCTTGATAACTCCATAGCTAACCAATCAAGATGACCTTCAGCCTGGGCCTGAACATTCTGATATTTCCCAATGGTGTACAATGCCCTTGGCTCCCCAAGCTCTGTTATCCTGATTTCTGACCACTTCTTCAGTGGACCAAACCCATTTTTAATGTTTTATTCAGGACCCGGAAGGAAAAGAAGAATAACCTAAAAGACTCAATGGGGATAAGTCTTTGCTCTTTCCTTTAGCTCTCCTTAAATGATTCTACTCCAGGGACATTTCACCATTTCTTCCCTATCTCAAATTTCTTTTTCTCTACCTTTAGTTTTATTGGTCTTCCTCTTTTTATGATATCTCTTATTTGCTGTACCCTCAATGCCAAATTTATTTCAATCACATTTCTCAGGAGACTGGCACAGTGTCCTGGGCAAGAAGTTGGGAGGGGGAGAGGTGGGTGTTCCTTGAACAGCCAGGAGCAGAGGCCCAAAGCTGTACCCCTGTGGTTACAGGCACCAGGAAGGTCCAGGGGATGGCTGTGTCTTTATGAGGTGGTCACTTCAGTCTGTTCCCAAAGGGTGGGAGAATGAAAATGAGCCAGGCTGAGAGCTTCAGGTGTTTTGGACTCAGGGTCTTTCCTTATTATAGCTCTTGATATTGATAAGGCTAGTGAATCCATCTGCCAGATTACCTAAGGCCCAGGAAAAGTAGGGCCGACCAGAAGGGTGGCAGGGTATGTGTGGGAAGGGTGAAGCACCAGTGGAGTGTAAAGAGAGGGAGGGTGCACATGGGACCCTTACTGTAAAGAGGAGGGCTGGGATTGGCGTACAGCGCTTCACGTGTATCATGGCCAGCACGCTGGGAAGGTGGCCTTCTCTGGCTCCAGCAAAGAATAGCCTGGCAGGAAAAAGAGCAGGTCAGCTGGGAACAGCCCACAGGCCACCAAGCCAGGGCTCCTCCTCCACACCCACCTCCATCCACACAGCAGCACCCTCCTCCAGGCAGCGCCCACCTTCGCGTGCACACCTGGAAGCCCCCTCATCCTAACGCAGGCACAGGCAAACCAGAGGTGGCCAGTGGATAGGTGGGGAGATCTTGGGCTGGTGGAGACACTGTGCAGGGTCTGGCTGGCTTGGGGCACTGTTACTCTGTCACCCACAGTGTCTGGAAGGCTGTAGGAACAGCCCCTCTCCTAGAGCCTTCATCCCTGTACAAATGTGTCTTGCTACCCTCCAGGGGTACAGACTCCCTGAAACGCTGGAGTGAACTACACATGGAGAAGTCTGAACGTTTCTCATGGTACTCAGAGATTAGGTGCAGCTGTGTGTCTGTGTGCGTGCGCGCGCGCGCGCGCGCGCGCGCGTGTGTGTGTGTGTGTATGTGTGCTCACGCGCAGGTGGGAACCTGAGGGAAAAGTGGAGATGTCCTGGGTAGCAGTTACATGGCTCCCTGAAATTGTCGAACTCATCCAGTTGAACACTATGCTCTATTCATATTATTGTGTGTAAATTGTACTTAAAATGTATACCTTCAGGGCTACTTATTCTGTTCCCAAGAAGCCAACCCAAAGGAATAAATAGAGTTGGTGAAAAGTATATATACAGAGATGGTAGGAAAAAAATGGAAATATCCTAAATGCTTAAAAGGATGAGACTGATTAAATAAAGTATGGTCTCTCCATAGATGGAAAATGATGAAGCCTCATCAATGTTTTTGAAAAGAATTGATTACATGAGAAGATGCTCATAATATAATGTTAAATGAAGACTCTGTGATTCTAATTTATTGACAATTTTTTATGAGCATGTAAAAATACACTAAAATGCTTCACTAAAATCCTGGATGGTGGAGTTATGAGTAGCTTTAATTTCCTCCCTCATACTTTATAGAACAATAATTTTTTTTGGTGCTGGGGATTGAGTCCAGGGTCCTGTGCACACTACACATGAATTCTACCACTGAACTATTATCCCAGCCCCTAAAATAGGACATTTATAACCAGGACAGTTATTTTTAAACCTTTTTTAAAAATTAAACTTTTTATTTTGAGAAAAAAATTCACATATAGTTGTAAAAAAAATAACACAGGGAGATGTTATATACCCTTTACTCAGTCTCCTCCATCAGGACACTGCAAGGTTATAGTACAATATCACAACTAGGATATTGATATCTAAAAGTCTTGTTATTACCAGGTGTGGGGGCACACACCTCTGGGAGACTGAGGCAGGAGGACGGGAAGTCCATCCTGGGCATCCATCAAGTCCAGCCTGGGCAATTTAGCAAGACCTTCTCTCTCAAAAATAAAATAAAATAAAATAAAATGGGGGCCGGGGATTTAGCTCAGTGGTTTCACCACCTGCTGCGCAAGTGCAAGGACCCGAGTTCGATCCCCGGTACCTAAAAAATAAATTTAAAAAAATAAAATAAAAACAGGCCGAGATAGGGTCTTGCCATGTAGTCCCTGGCTGGTCTTGAACTCACTATGTAGCCCAGGTTGGCCTTGAACTTTCAATCCTTCTGCCTCAGCCTCCCCTCAAGTGCTGCTCCAATGCTGGGATTACAGGTATGGGCCACCATGCCCAATTCTAAAAGTTATTTTTATTTATTTATTTATTTTGGTGCTGGGGATTGAACTCGGGTCCTTGCGCTTGCAGCAGGCGGCGAAACCACTGAGTTAAGTCCCCAGCCCCTCTAAAAGTTATTTTTAAAGAGAGAAATTGGCTGGGCATGATGGTGCACACTTGTAATTCCAGCACTTGGGAGGCTGAGGCAGAGTCACCACAAGTTCAAGATCAGCCTGATCTGTATAGTGAAACTGTGTCTCAAAAAAACAAACCCAAAATGGGGGTGGGAGTGGGGCGGAGAATGAATGAGAATAAGCCAGATGTGGTGGCGCATGCCTATAACTCCAGCACTCAAGAGGCTGACCAGTGTGGACTATGTAGCAAGACCCTGTCTCAAAAATTTTGCAGATCCTCAGTACATACATAAATACACACACACATATGAAAAGAAAAAAGATACGGAAATTATAACACGAAAAGCAGCTAGCCCTTTGCTGGGCATGGTGGTAGATGCCTGTAATCTAGCTACTTGGCTGAGCCAAGAGGATCACAAGTTCAAGACCTCATCTCAAAATAAAAAAAACATAAAAAGGGCCGGGGTATAGCTCAGTGCAAGGCCTTGACTCTATTTCCAACACACACACACAAAGAACCATTTCCTTTTCCCTCTTCCAAGAGAAAATACTATAAATTGTTGTCATTTACATATTAGTGCAAAATAGACCACTTTTTCTTTTTTCTAGGGAAAGAAGCACCTATGGGAAGAGAGAAAGAAGACGGTGTGATGAGGACAGAAAGGCGTACTAGTAGCATGCTGGGAATTCTGAGGAGAACTGCCACTTACTTTGTAATTGGTACGTGGAATAATGGCAGTGTGTCCAAAGTGTGGGGACCGGCTCCAAGTGGGGACTGGCTCCAATATCCATAAGCAGTGGCCCCCTCATGAACTACCTGAGGCAGTGTCACTACAGGTAGTTCATGCAGATGCACATATCCCTGCCCCTCTCCCATGTTACTCTCCTTAGTGCAGCCTCATGCACCAGACTGAGCTCAGGTACTCTGTGGGCCTTCACATGTACACAGCCAGGGTCCTGCATCCACATCCCTCCTCCAAATGCAGCCAGGACCAAGTGTATTTGTCCAATAGCACTTGCAAGTGTCAAGTTCAAAAGAAACAATCCTTGCCCAGCTGACAATGGAGGAGACAATGGCATTTAGCATAATACATACCCGCACACACTTTGACTCCTAGGAAGGATCACCTCTTCCACACCCCAGAACATAACAGAGTGGAAGTGAGGACAGAGGAGGAAAGAAAGAAGGCACCGGAAGATGAGCAGAGGAAGCTGGGTGGGTGAGATCGAGCCTCTGAATCAGAGGCTGAGCATACCACACGCCACTGTCTCCTGCATGCACATGCAGCTAGACCACATGCACACAGACCGTGGCATGGCCTGCCTGAGGGACAAAGCCCAGTCTAATGCTACTGTGGCCACTCTCCTCCATAGGTCCAAGGGAGCCTCCCGAGTCACTCATCTTCCACTGCTCGCCTTCTACTGGGGCCTCCAGGTGGCCAGGGCTCCTGTGTAACAGGCACATGAGGTTGCTGTGGATGCATCTCTTAGGGTTCTGGGCCCAGAGGACATACACATTTCCTCTTTGCTGCCTTAACTCCTGAAAACATGGTAGTCCATTGTCATTTCACAGGAATTCCCCCTTAATGTGACAGGTGGCCTTGGAAGTAGTTGAGTGGGGCTGTGCCCCAAGGGCAAGGGGCTTTCTAAGAACCTGGGTGGTCTCCTTGGACCACATATGTGGAAATCATCCAGTATCTATCTGATGGCTTCGAGAGAACATTCTGGAAGTGGCAGGAAGGGATATGGGGGCAGGGTAAGGGGAGCAGATCTCTGGATGTGTGGAGCAAGAATGAGGGGGTCTAGGGTACACTCATGCTTCTGGGTTCCCAGAGAGTTCTGGGGTGGAGACTGTGGCTGAAAGGCTTTCACTGACAAATACTTTCCACTCTTCTCCAACCTCTCACTTCATGTTCTCCACCTGAGCCTCGTGGTGGATGACAGCGGCTGCCTGTTGAGTGGGGAGGAGCCCTGCATTCTCAGGACATCCAGGGTGAACCCATCCTACATGCAGTCTGGTTCCAGAACACTCATGGGAGGCCAGACCCACAGGCCCCTGCAGACACAGACAAGCCCACCACAGACACATGGAGCAATGCACACAGCAGAGCTGCCCCAGCTGGGGAAGGGCCCAGGCAGCACTCACCGGGAGGAAGTGAAGAGAGATCCATTAACTCCTCCAAATGTGGACAGGGCAACTGAAATGGGCATGATCCAGGCCATGACCCCTAGAAGCTTCTCTCCAAAAGTCTGGGAGGGAAAAACAAAAGCGGAAGTGGAAAAGGTGAGCAGCACTCCTCATCTTCAGCTTGCTCATCTCTGCTGGAGCACCTGTCTCCCGGCCCCACTGCTGATTCTCTCAGCCCCTGCCTGCACCGCTGTGTCCATGGTGATGACGGCACAGGCTCTGAGAAAGTAACTGAAGAGCATTATGCTGCTCATGTTAACATTAATTAGCTAACATTTATTATCCTTGTTTTAGGGATGAGGGAACTGTGGCAACAGTGATCAAGTGGCTCACCTCAGATCATACACCCAGGAAGAGGAGGGCCCAGGGTTGGGGGCCAAGTGGTGTAAACCCAGGCCCCAAGTACCCAACATAATTTCTCCACACTTGTGAATCAGGCAGATCTCAGTCCAAATCCTAGCTCCCCCTTGAGCAAGGCTTGTAAATGTCCTGCCCCAGTGCTTCCGAGTAACTGAACCTAGGGCCTGTTGCATGCTAGGCAACTACAGGGCAACATCTTCAGCCCCAGGTTTGTAGTTATTATTATTATTATTGTTGTTGTTGTTATATTCTTCAGACAGGCTCTTGCTGCGTAGTCTAGGCTGGCCTTGAACTCATGGTTTTTCTGCCTCAGCCTCCTGAGTGCTGGGGTTTATAATTTTTAGGCTCAGTTTCTCATCTGTAAAACATGCATGATTCTTAACTCACAGGATAAGAATTTTTAACCAGTCACTACTACAGTTGAGAAAGCCAAGGCTGTAAATCTATAGATAAATCTTCATGGACCCAGGAATTATAAAACGCAGGGGACTAGCCTTCTCTGTACACTCTGAGCCAGTTTTACAGCACACAGCTGGGGAGTTGTCTAAAATAGCTGTCCTGCTAGAGAAGGCTGTTGGTCATAGGAACATGGGTGCTGCCACGGGGGATGGCAGGGTGCTTTCTTCATGTTCTTAGAGATGACCTCAGTGACGGCACTGTCTGGCAGGGTGGGGTCGTAGCCCAGACTGAAGCCAGGTGAGGGAGCAGCCTGGCTCCTAGGCTTTCCTCAGATATCCAGGACCCCAGCCCCTTGGATCTGCATGATCTTCCCCAAAGAACACAAACTACTCCAATTCTGAACTGCTTACCAGCACCCACTTTTCCCTGATGAGCAGTCAGCTTCTCGGTTCCCAGAGAGGAAACAGAGGTGGAGAGAAATGGTGTGCCCTGTGCAAGGTTCTGTCTTTGTGAGGAGCAGCCTGTCTCCTTTACACAAGCCTCACAGTCAGAGTTTAAAGTGCACTACGTCAGCAGCCAGCAGACTTGCTCTGTAAAGAGTCAGATACTACATATTTTGGCTTCTTAGGCTGTACAGATTCAGTAGTAACCACTCAGTTCTGCATGGTAGCTGCTCTGGGTATAACCAGCCATCAGTTTGCTCCTGGACACTTGAGAATCCCATGTTGAGGACACACATGGATTCTGCACTGAGGACTTGGGATGATTTCCAATTCCACAAGCTCATGGATCAGGGAAAAGTGAGTGGGACTAAACAGGCAAATCTATGTCACCATTCTGGGTTTGTTTTCTTACCACAGCGACTGCGTTTGATGCCAGCAGCTCCTGGGGGGACATTGCAGTAACATACGCGACATTGGCAAAGACATACACAAATGTGACCAGTGGGATGGAGATGAAGATGGCTCTGGGAAGGTTCCTGTAGAGGGAGAGGAGGTGAGAAGGAGGCCTGTGTCTGGGATGCTGCTTTGGCGAGGGGTCTGTATGAGGGTAGCCTTGCTTTGCACCTGAGTGGTGCTTTCTGTACCTAGGAGGTGGGCTTTATCTAATCAGGGCAGAATAATTTAAAGGTAATGAAACAGCTCTGGCTGGAAATACATTCCATACCTGCTGATGTCTTTTTGACCCAGATCTCTACCTTTCCATCTGCCTCAAGACATAAGAACTGACCTGTCCTGCAAACAGGATGCCCAGAGGCCTTGTGAAACACAGGTCATTTGCTAAGGCAGTGGGGTTATCTAGCAGTTTTCCGCTTTTAACCTGCTCTGGGACAGTCACAGGACCCTTTCTCCCCTCCTGGCAGGGTGGATGGCAAATGTTTTAAGTTCCTGAGAAATGAACTGTTATGTCAGGAGAGACCAGAGCAGGGTCAGGATGGGGGCTGAGAAGTGGGTAGAGCACATACGCTCCCTTTTCCAGCATGAAGTGTTATGGGCTTTCAAGGGTGAGGGGAAGAACTGGGCTATATCAACTCACTTGTAGGGGTCAACAAGTTCCTCAGTCACATAATTAAGAAAGTTCCAGCCTCCATAGGCAAAGGAGCCCTGAAGGAAAGCCAATGCGATAAGGCCGATGTCTGGTTCTTGGAAATTCTCAAATGCATTCTTTGGCTCGAGCCAGAAGTATTCTCCTGTGGATACAATGGGTAGGATGCTGCTCAGAGAAAGTCTAGGCTCAGCAGCTCCCTCCCTGCCAGCTCTGTTTGGTCTCTAGTGAACTCACCCTACTGGAGAAGCAGGGGTAAATGGAGCAGGGAAATCCACTTCTAGGGATCTCCCAGTACCTGGTAACCATAAGCCCAGCGAGGGTTCAAGTTCAATGCACAGTTCTGAAGTGTATCTTTTTAAACATTTTTAGTTTTATTATACATGTTTGCAGTTCATGCAGTTTACAATCATCTTGGGGAGTGGTTAGATGTACATACCACAGCTTGTTTTTTTTTTTTAAATCCCCTTCCCCTTCTCTCCACCTCCCTCACTCTTCTACCAATTCCCCTAGCCCATTTTTCATTCTCGTTGATATTATCTGTCTTAGCTCATGTTATGGCATATAATGTTTACATTAACTGAGGCTATTACGTTCTTGTACATGGCAGTGTTTCTTTTTATATTTATTTATTTGTTTGTTTGTTTATTTATTTATTTTTTGATACTGGGAATTGGACTCAGGTTCTTGCACTTGCCCAGCAGGTGCAAAACCACTGAGCTAAATCTCCGGCCCTAGTGTTCCTTTTTTAAAGGGTAAAGTTACTTGGAAGGATTGGCCATAGTACACGGTGGGGTGGGGTGGTGGCGGGCGGGTGTCTTGCTGGGCTTTGGAAATACAAGACTGGAGTCACTTGCAGTCTCCTGACCACCTTCCCTGATATTTAAATTTGTCCATTTCCATGAAGAAAGCATGAAGAACAACCCGTTCGGACAGAAGCTTCTATGTTATATTAGTTCCAGCTTGTCTTGCTTGTTTTGTCTGTATTCTATTTCTTTTTAAGGGGTGTGTTTGGTCTGATTTCAGGGCCCTTTAGTAAAGAGCCTTGAAATTAGATTCTCAGTACTTAGCACAGTGTCTTGCATACAGTGTGCCCTCAAAATAGGGTGCTGGGCTGCAGGTATATAGCTCAGTGGTAGAGCAATGGCCTCGCATGTATGAGGCCCTGGGTTCCATTCCTGGCACTACTAGAAGGGAATCTTGTTGAGATTGTGATGAGATATAGTGTAACTAACAATATTTATTAATCTGTAACCAAGCATTTGGACAGGAAATAAGGAGATTAGTGTGATCAGGAGAAAGGATTGAGAACAGATTAGGAGGAACTCACTATCTCTGAAAAGATAGCACAGTGGTTTCCTTAAGTTTTAATTCCTGAAACAAATAACCTGCCAACTGACTTAATCCAATGGATTAAAATAAGGAGGCACATTATGTAGCAATAACTTGTTTCTTGAACAAAACTTTCAAATTCTCCCCACTGCCTTCGGGGCCCACGGGCAGGTGGGAGGTCTCTCTCTCTCTCTCTCTCTCATCTGATTTTCTGTGAGGCAGTGATGCTGAGCAGAGCCTTGTGTGCCATGGGTCCCATGGAAACCAAGTACAGACAGCCTTGGAAAAGATCAAATCCAGTGGGGAATGTTGGCAGGGGCCCCAGGAATGCAGAGCTCTCTCTTGCAGAGATGAGTAATTTTTGAAACACAGAAAATTCTCTTCTTTTGTTCTCCATTTTCAGATATGGACAAGATATGATAGACGTCCAGAGCTTCCCTAAGTTTGAGGCAAAATGGCAATGGAGTCAGAGGTCCAGGGTCTTTACTTAGCTGTTTTATAGCCTAGAGGAGAGTGTGGGGAGACAAAACTTAGCAAGCCTTGGAGGAGGTTCCTTATCCTCAACCACCTTGGTGAAGATGGTTTCTCATCCCCTTTGACAAGCAAGTGAAGATGAGCTCTCTCAATGGCAGAACCAGGAAACCCTAGGGCCTGGATGTGCAAGAGGTAGAAAGTTGTGTGGGGCCCTCTTATTCCCATGACACTCACCTTTGCATATCTGTACAACCCCCATGATGATGATCAGGGCCAGAGCCAGAAGCTTCCCAGCTGTAAAGATGTCTTGAACCCGGGTGGCCCATCGCACACTGGAACAGTTGACCCATGTGAGGAGCACTGAAATGACAGAGCCCCAGATGTGCTCTCAGGAGCACGTGAGGTGCAGGATGCCCACTTCACAGTAACACAAGTGCTGCTTGTTCCTGATGATGTGATTTTAACAGGTGAGCCAAACGTCTTATAAGCTCAGCCCCAGTGGCCAGAAACTTTGGTTCCATTGATAGGTTACAAATAGGGATTACATGCCCCAAATCAGCACTCGGTCAGAGCATGCCCTGTCCAGGGCCAGAAGCCAGAAGCAGCCAAGAACTGGCTTGAGGGGTAAAATCAGCATCAGAGCACCAGGGTGGGCTTGGTATTCAAACCACTGTCTGTGCAGGTAGAGCCCTGAGCAGCTGGTGGATCTTGGATGTTACCTTCTTGAGCCTGATTTGGGGACCACAGAGGTGAAGGCACTCTTTTGTGACTTAGCTTTTCCAGATATAATCTATATTTAGTAAACATTCATCTTTTTTTTTTTTTGGGTACTGGGGATCAAACTCAGAACCTTGCACTTACGAGGCAGGTGGTAGCACCACTGAGCTAAATCTCTGGCCCAACATTCATCTTTTTAAAGATGAGATTTAATAAATATATTTAATGGCACCATCACTATCACACTCAGTATACAGAACATTTTCAATGCCACAGAAAGTTGTCTCTATGTTATGTTCCTCTGTACTCAGCCAATCCTCTCCCCTCATTTCTGGCAACCACTAATTTGATTTCTCTCCTGATAGTTTTGTCTTTTCCAGAATGGTGCTTAAGTGGAATCATAGACTATGTAAGCTTTTGTGTCTGGCTTCTTCAACTGAACGTAATTCCTTGAAATCTATTCATGTTGCTGCATAGATTAGTAGTTACTTTCTTTTTATTGTTAAATGCTATTCCATTATATCGATGCATCAGTTACTTTTCTGTTCTGGTGGACATTTGGGTTGATCCCAATGTTGGGTTATTATGTGATAAAGCTTCTATAAGGACTTGCATACAAGTCTTTAAGTGGATTGTAGAGGGCTTTCATTTCTCTTCATTAAAAAAAGTACCCAGAAAAAAAAAATACCCAGAAATAGGATTCTGGTCATATGATAAATATACACGTAACTTTATCAGAAATGCCAAACTTCTTTTCAAAGTGGCTATATAATTTTACATTCCCTCCAGCAACGTATGAGAATTCCTGTGGCTCTGTATCCTTGTCACCATTTGGCAATGTGTGTTTAAAAAAAAAATCTGGTGATTCTACTAGGTGTGTAGTATTTCACTGTGGATTTGACTTGCATTTCTCTAATGACTAATGATGTTGAGCAATGAGTGTTTATTTGGCATCTATCTGATATCTTCTTTGGTGGGATGGGGTCTTTCAACTTAAGCTCCTCACAGTCACAAGGCTCCCACCGAGATGCCAACAACACAGGACCTGTGTGGGCTGAGGGAAGGTTTGGAGGCGAAGTGCTAGGAGGGGCTGTCTCTGCTTTACTGATGCTCTGTCCAACCAATCCACTGGAGCTCTGTGCTATAGGAGTGGGGTTCTCAGTGTCCTGATGGTTGTGAAGTGCTTGAGAATAAAGAAAAAAAAGTCCCCCTGCTTGGCCCTCTCCTAAAAAGGTGGCCAGGACATAGCCTACTACTCAAAAGGTGCACATCAGGGCCGGGGATTTAGCTCAGTGGCACTGCGTCTGCCTTGCAAGAGCAAGATTCTGAGTTCGATCCCTGGTACCCCCCCCCCAAAAGGTGCACATCATATGTGTAAAAACAAGAGAATATTTCTGTCTCTCAAGCCTCCAGGGCTCTGACTTTGAATGGCTGATTAAATTATTTCAATACATTATCCATCAACTACACTTTTATATTCAAGTATTTTCCAACTTCACTTGATTCTGAGAATATTTCAGCAGGGTAGGAAGGTCCTGACATTACTGTCCATCTGTAGTTTTCTTCTCTACACTATCTCCATTTGATAAACTTTTCACTTTTCAAGATCCAGTTCAAATGTCATGTTTCATGAAACTTAGTAGTTTTATTTATTCCTAACAATGTGTGTACAAGGTAAGATACATCGGCCATATTCTATAGACAAGGTACAAAGTTTGTCTTTTCAAACTTCAAACTAGGAGAGTCCCAGACTACTTTGTTTATATCTAATTGTGGTACTTATTTCTTTGTATTAAAATGATCTTGGGGCTTGGGGTGTAGCTCAGCAGGCACAGGACCCTGGGTTCCATCCCCAGAAGCACCAACTAAATAAATAAATAACAAAATAAAATGTTCTGTTTCATTTTTTCCTCTTGTAGACTAGGAGGATAGGCTCTGTAACTTTTTCATGTTTTTAATCCCAGGGCATATCATTGGTGCCTGAAATAGTAGATACTCAATAAATATTTAGTAAATAAAATGCAGTTGGTAATGGTGGCATGTACCTGTAATCTCAGTACTTGGGAGGCTGAAGCAGGAGGATCATGAGTTTGAAACTAGGCTGGGCTATACAGTGAGTTCCTGGCCAGCCTAGGCTACTTAGCAAGACCTTGTCTCAAACAAAACAAAACAAAACAAAACAAAACAAAACAAAACAAAACACATACACACACACACAAACACACACACACACAAAATAAAACAACAACCAAAACCTCAAACAGAACGAAACAAAAAATGAAATGCCACAATCTATAGTCCTCCAATCTCACCTCAATCTACACATTCCACAGTGCACACCAATCTCCCCATACTCCTCAGGAATCTCATTGATAGGAGATACAATCTTTTGTTTCATGGAACCAAAAGAGGAAATTTTCACAGAATCAACACAAAGACTGACTTCAAAAGCAGAATCTCTTGTCTCCTGGTAGAGGAGCTGCTATGCAAGATGTTGTCATATACGGAGAATCAAAACATGTTGTGAGAGCAAGGATTTTAAGTGCCTGAACAGGGAGAACATTTTGTAAATACTCAAATGTTCCAGATGGACAGAGACATCCTAATAATACACACTTGGTTATCTTACTCAATTCAGTAAAGATCATGTGCCTGGTGATGATCCAACCAAAATCACCACAACCGCTGGGGCTGTGACCTCAGCTCCCCAGGGCCCCGAGTCATGCTGGGTACAAGGCTGGGCCCCTCTACCCAGGAATTCAGGCAGACACAAGCAATAACAAGGGAAGGATAGAGGAGACTGATTTACAAAAGAAAGATGAGAAAACAAAACCCAGGTGGCTTGGGGATGGGTAAGGATTACAGAATAAGTAACAGGATCTTGACCTCAGAAAAGAAAATCCTCTTTCACCAAGGGGAGAAGGGCATAGGAAGGAGATGACAAGAAAATGCTTGAGGAAAAAAGGGGCAGAGTAGCAAAACTCAAAGAAATGTCTCTTGCCTCAAGTAAAAGGAAGAATGTAGCCACTTCCACCATGTGCTGGGATAGAAAACATTATCCCCTCTTTACAAGACTGGCCTTGTCAGGGCCGGGGATTTAGCTCAGTGGTTCTGCCGCCTGCCTCGCAAGCACAAGGTCCAGAGTTTGATCCCTGGAACAAAAAAAAAGACTGTCCTTGTCAAGGCAAGCAGAAAGCCTCCTCTGTTGGCTCCATGGTATTCCCAGGGTGACTGGGATGTCTGAAAGATAGGGACATTTTTCAGGTGGCCTTGCTGCTGGTGTTTTCTGTTTTAGCTGGCCTTATCTCTATGGACTTCACAAGAATTCAGCCTTTGACTAATATTTAACCTTTCACCCTCATAGGAATCTTGTAGAAATCAAAAGAAATTCTGAGACTAAGGTAGAGACAGGCAGGCTGCCTATGACCCCTGATCTCCTCAGAACAATGGCTGCGGGCTCCAGCCTTCTCAGGTCTCAGCCTTCTCCCTGAAGCTAGGCTGTGGCAGCTGGTGGCGGGGAGATAGTGTACTTTCAGTCTTTGGTACAGCTTCCACACAGCAGCTGAAACCTGAGCTTCCACCCAGGGAGGAAAGGTCAGAAAGTGTAGGCAATACTTCCTGGGTGCTCGCCAAGCCCTGCCTTGTTCAGGAAGCCTATTGCTGCCTATCTGCTACCCAGCACCCCCTCTGTTGCTAAAGAGTATGGTCCCCCCAGCCTTCAGCTAGACCCCGAATTTTGCGTAGCTGAAATCTAGTGACCTGAAGGAAGATGGGGACTGTAGATGAGGACCATTGGCTACTGTAGCTTGAAACATGAGGGTTTCCATCCATCAATCCATCCATCCATCCATCCATCCATCCATCCATCCATCCATCCATCTATTCACTCACCCACCCACCCACTCACTTGTCCGTCCATCCATCCGTCATGTATACAGTGTGTACCTGTGCTAGGCACTCTGGAATGTGGGGAAGTCATAAGTTAGACAAAGTCACTGCTCTGAGAGAGTGGGCAGCACAGTGGGTGAGATGGGTGAGCTAAGAGATGACCATAAAATAATGTGACAGTGGAGCTATTTGTGCAAGTGAAGGGTGTCCATTAGGAGCCCCTTACTCAGTCTAGGGTCATCCTATAGGAGAAGACTCTAGCAACATGAGTCTTATAATTTTGGTCCAGCTAGACAAAATGAAAAGTACGGCTCTGGTTCTTGTCCTTTATCATCTAGCTGTGGGAATGGGTGCCACTTCTCTAGGTCCCCATAGAATTCCATCCTTCTTTGTACCTTTTGAGCATTTTTTCCTCCCTTTCTTTTTTGTTTCTTAGGTAAAACATAAGTTGAAAATGGGGCCAGGAATTTAGCTCAGTGGTTCTGCCACCTGCCCCACAAGCTCAAGGACCCAAGTTCAATCCCTGGTACCAAAAAAACCCAAAAAACAAAAAACAAAAAATAAATGTAAGCTACAAAGACAATCAAGAAGACAAAATTTAAAAAAGATGGAACAAGACAATGGGTGAAGACAAGGACTAATTAATTAATCCACCCAGAATGAAGAATTCAACATCAGGGTGACAGGAGAGACGTAAAGAATGAAGCAAGCAGGAGGTGGGAAATTCAGAACTCAGAAATCTAGTGCCCTGCCCA